CCAGCTGAGAAAGTTACAAATGGTGAACACATGATCCTGGAAATTGTCATAAATAATCATAAAGTGCCTGAATTTTGATGACATGACCATGATGCTGCTGCAATGGTCATAGGTGTGAAAGCTGGTCATAAATCACTTTTTTCAGTGTCTTGTAACTTCAAACAGTCACTAAACAAATGGTTATAAGTTGAGGACTACCTGTATATCAATCATCCCTCTTCCTTCATAGGATTTTCATTCAAGGAGAATTGACTAGGACAAGTAACTAACTTTTTAAGCAGGGTAGAAGATAACAAGAGTGCCAGGCATTTCCATAGCACCAATTATGGTTTGGTATTTAAACATACAACATGCTGTGTGGTTATCATAGGTGAGCTTCAGTAATTATTTTATTAAATGAAAACTGGCACCACATCAAGTTTTAAATCTAAAAATATCAGGTATTTTACATGGAGTCACATTTACAGTCATATTTTAGTGACTGCTGGTTATTAAAACTAGCTATTATAATAGTTAGATCAATGAAAGCTTTGTTTTGATTGTGCAGTTCATTCCTCACCTGTTTGAGAAGCAGACTGTTCCCATTCCAGTAGTGGTTCGTGAAAATTATTCATTCCCATAATTGATTCTTACTATATACTTTTAGTGATAGCAGCACTGCTCCTAATATACTAGACTGTTGCTTAGATTTTTGATCATCTCATTCTGAAACATTTTAAATGGAATTGAAGTAATTACATTCATCTCAAGATTCTATTTTTTGTAATGATGTGAATATGATTCCAGAACTACAGCTGAAAGAAATACTGTCTTTTTCTATTAAATGAATAAGAAATTGCATTTACAATCTTAGGCAGGCTGCATTTTTAAAAAATGCATTCAGTATGTCCATAACTGGGTATAAAATGATTGCCTTACTCACTGTATAAGCTCAGACCAGAAGCTCAGTTTCGGCAGAAGACTGAGGATTCTTTCATAAGTTTAGCAATTTTCAGTATGCAGAGCTGAATCCATTTATAATAATTCTGATGAAATCTAGGTGAATTATTTGGAATATTTTCCTCCTGCGAAACTTAGTATGTACTATTCATTCAATAAATTGTGTTTTATGCTTTCTGAAAGTATGTGTACAATGTATTCATATTATGTATCTGAAATACAGATGTGCTTTGTTTTTTACACATAGCCAAAGCAGTATTTGCAAATACAAATAATATAATATTTGCAACCGATAATAGCTGCTATGAGAAATCAATCTCAACACTTTAAAATACATATAATATTTTATCTCTCTTATTTAAATAAGTAGAAATACATTTGATCACCATGATCTCAGAAAGTCAAATATCTCAATTGTTAAAATCCTGGCTACAGTTAAGAATTACTTTCAGACAAAGGTGAATTAGTATAATCCTTGGATTTATTTAGTAGCATTTAAGGAGAAAAACTGTGCTCTCTTCAGTAAAAGAAAACATCAGTATTTTAAATTTAAATACTTGGTCTATTAAGTGTAAGTCATCTTTTAGTTATTATTAATGGGATAATTTCATTCATATTAACTGTGGGATATTTAGTAATTCAACCCTTTGTAAATGCAAGAAATCCTGCATGAGAATATCTTCCAGATGGGCTTCTGGTCTTAGTTCAAAGGCAGCCAGAATATTTCCTCACCCTCCTTTTTTGTTATGTTTATTATGTTTTTAAGATTTGTATTATCATTGTTTTCGGGTTTAATTAGACATTTTGCACTTCTAAGTTACAATTTGCTTTACAAATTTTCTCATGCAGAATAGTGAATTATCATTAAATCACTATAAAATGGTTCTTCCATCTTCTTCCTATCATTCTTCCTATCAACTTAAGCCCATTAGATTAATCCTGTTTTTTGGGGCAGAAGTGAAGTAGTATTGGTTGTTTTCTACATCAGACCATCTGGTATTTGGAAAGTGGCCATCTCAGTATTTTCCAGCTAAATGTTCCTTTAACTTTTCTTTACAGGCATGTTACTTCTAATCACTGTTGCCCTCTTCTTTAACTTTTTCCAATTTGTCTCACCTTTCTTAATTCTTATTCAGAAATATATACAGTACCGGACAAATATGATTAGTCCCAAATAAGGAAGAAGTGTTTATTCTTGTCGCTAAACAGTATGATTCTATTAATGTTCATGGCACTGTTTTGTAGCTTTTTAACATTGGCAACCCTTCACTTTGTTATATGCTGGAAACCTCATGTACTTCTGCTAAACCAGATGTCTATGATACATTAGTGTTCTGAATTTGAGCACACCTGAAGGCAGCCATTTGCACTGTGTAGTGCTATAATTTATATGATATTATTCAGCCTTCCATTACATGAATGGAATTTTGAATGTGTTACTGCTATGAGGTAACAGTTATTCATATTATGGATCACCTGGAAATAAGATTTCTCTGCATCTAAATGGTGGATCAGTGGTTAAAGTATACTCCCCTAGTATGGTATCTCACTTGAAAGTTTCCTTGATTTAATGAAGAATTGTTGGTAAGAACACAATTATTTTACAACTGTGAATTCATCTATGAATGTCACTGCCAGCAAACACACAATTAGGACATTTTGCTACAAAATATGAAGAACTTTATCAGATGCTTTGCTGAAATCAAGAAACATTATCTCTTGTACTTTTTTCAATATCTATTCAGCCAGTAACCTAATCCAAAAAACAATTCTGGGTTTATTTTTGACATTCTGTGTTCCTTTCTACATACAGTATTTTTAGACATATTTCTAACCTGTTTTCTTATCTTTACTAGTTCCAACGGACTGACCATTCTTACAGCTTGGATTTTCTTTTATCCTGTTTAAAATCTTAGATATCTACCTCACTATATTTTTGTGGCATCCCTCCATTTTTCAAAATTTACTATAGAAAAAAGCTAACAAATTGAGAAATAAATCTATCTTGCTATTCTATTCAGATGCTGAGATTATTACTGAAGTGGTCTGAATACATCTAGATCAGGGGTGCCAAACTGGCGGCCAATGGGCTGGATGCATCATGTGCAGGCCATGACCACCTCAGTTCCACAAATGGGAAAAACATCATGAAACGTTGCATGACAGCAACGTGACATGGCAAGTTTGACACTGATGATCTAGATAATTCAAATACTGTAGGTCTCTTGTAATAGCTACACAAAATAGCTATTACATTGTGACATATTTGGTGCAGAAGCTGTTGAATTGGACACATGTTTAGAATTGATCATACACAGTAGATATCTATCTATCTATCTACTGTGGAATAGATGTGATGGGAAGAAATAGGTTGTCAAGAAGGCTTGTGCAGATAAATGTTATATTCCAGAAGCTAAGGTTGCTTTACACAAACAAAAAGGCTCTTTGTGAGAATACCCAGAAGGAATTTCACTGTAGACATATTCAGAAGCAAAAGCTTAACTAAATTAAGATTCAAACCTATCCAGTGCCTAATGACTGTTTTACTGTTCATGTAATGCCAGTTGAGACTTTGATCAGCATGCTAAACTTTTGCATATGATGGAAGGCAAGAGTTAATTCTCTAAATTCCACCTATTGGTCACTGTGCAAGTATTCTATGTTGGAACTGGATGAATCATGGAATTCATTTAATTGATGCATAAAATATGTACATTGGTATGAGTCTCATATATGTGGCATCAGATACCTATAATATATGTGGCATCAGATACCTATAATTCTCAAGCCAAGCCCACGCTGTGCTAGATATTACTTGCAAATGTCAGAATCTGAATTATGAGTCTTTTGGATACAATTTTATTATGAAAACATCCCAGTTATTAAAATGAAGATTTGCACTTTATTGCAATTCTATACAGTAAGCTATGGATTTGTTTTACTCCCATTACTTATAAAAAGGCAATTTGAGTATAATTTGCAACCATTGCTTGCTCTCCCACTAAGCATTATGGCAGACATATTAATGCCTGATTGTTCATTCCCCGTTGCTCAGCTTTCACTGTATCTCCCAAATTTGTATGTCAGGAATTTGAGAAAGAATGCCATAACTGGGAGTCAGTGACCATCGCCTACACAGAGGAACCATAAAATAAGGGACCCATCTTAGGAACGTAGTATTGATAATTTCAGTGCAATAATTCAAAGACTGTAAGACACATGAGAAATAAGAGCCCTACTATCACATGATTATCTTTTCTAAAGTATTTCTTTTCTCTGATAAAGAGAAAATAAGTAGGTGAAAGCAACTGTTGCAGTCCTTAACAGATTTCCTTTCTGTTAATGATGCAAGATTCCTTAAAGACTGCTTCTCAACAGTCAATAGATCTAGAGAATATGCTACATGTTTTATATCATAAGGGTCATGCTAGAAGTCATCTGAAAAGCTTAGGAGTTCACTATGAAGATCAAAGATGATTTGGACTCCAGATTGAAGGAGACATGGCAAATGTTCACAGCTCGAATCTTTCAGTATTAAAAAAGTAGCATATGTGGGTTATTCATATTATGATGGTTTTCTATTAGTCTTTTATTTCCTGATGTTGGAATATTTTTCACTGAGGCTGAGGATTGTGGATGAAAAATAGTCCCTTCTCTACGTAGTAGCATAATGTAATTGGCAACATCTACTTTTTGCAGTTCTCTTTGAGTTATTATCAGATACACCCTGCTTCTGAGATACAAACCCTGTACTCTTCCGTGGAGACTGTTTTGGATTGCAGCACCATGACTTTTCTTGCTTTTTCTTTTAGAAAGTCAAGTTTAAATAGCAATAAGGACTTGGTTATGACAAAGCCAAGATCAAATCTCTATTGGCTTTTCACTATAGGGTTCCATATTGGCTGTAGCAACATTGTGTGCGGTAAAAAGATTACTCACTTGAGTCTTTCTGATGAATTCAGTTAATTGCATTAGAGAGCCCACAAATGCACACAAAAATAAAGAATAAAATATTCTAAATCCCAAATAGGCATCTTTGGAATCCATAGTGCAAAGTAGTTTTGCTGAGTTAGTTTCTTCTTGTGTATTTATAGATTATTGTCTTCAAGTCTTTCCTAAGATAGTTGACCTACAAAACAAAAACATGAATGCAGTAAGAAGAGGGGAAACAAATAGGGCATAAAGTTATTTATAATTAATTTGGCCTCACTCATCTTCCTTTATAAAGGAAAACAGCAGTTCAAGGCAAGAATAGCAACAATTAGTGTACATTCTCATCACAATGGAAAGCTACATTACAAAGTCATGAGACCAAAGACAGTTAGTTGAGAATAACTATGCATAAAAACTTTTATTATTATTATTATTATTATTATTATTAATGACAGTATACACGGCAAATGAGATAACCATGCTGGGTTTCATATCACAACTCACTAGTCAAACACTTCCCAAGTATTTAGGACTTCGTGATGTATCGGCGGATTATGTGAGCAGATCCCAGTAAGGTGGCCTTCTGCAGCTGACCAATGGTGATCTTGTCAGCACCAATTGTTTTTAAGTGCTTGCCTAGGTCTTTAGGCACAGCACCCAGTGTGCCGAGTACCACTAGAACCACCTGCCCTGGTTTATGCCAGAGTCTCTGCAGTTCGATTCTCAAGTCCTGATATCTGGTGACTTTTTCAAGTTGTTTCTCGTCAAGAAACATCTTCAAAAAGTCACCAGATAAGAAAAAAACAACAACTTGAAATAATAATAATAATAATAATAATAATAATAATAATAATAATAATAATAAAAATGTGTCATCTTTGTAAGCTGAGAACGAGTTGGGTGACCATATTTTTTTTAAAAAAATAAATAAATAAAAATAGCTTGAAGACAATAAGGTAAGTTCAAGAGACAAATTTTTGCTAAACAGATAGTAAAGGTTTTTCCTGGAATACCTATTGGGTTCATGAAGGTCCAGAACTTTGCAGCATGCTCACTTCCCTTGCTCCATTAAATAAATGTCTCCAAGAAGAAAATAAAACTCAGCAGCAGTGGGGCTCTAGGGCTTTGAAAAGTCAAATGCTGCTTTTTCATTAGCATCCCTCCCCCGCCACAATATCCATACAGCTTCTATTTTGACCTTGTTCAAAAAAGCGTTGAAAACCAGGCCCCTTCCTCAAGCTCTGAGATAGGGAATGTGATGGGCCCCTTCTGAACATAGGTGGATTATAATCTTATTGCTTGTGCTGAATGCCTATTGTTCTTCTGTGTTATTTTAACTGTTTTTTAATATAATGTGACACCCAGAATAATTAGGAATTTAGATGGCCTTACAAAAGCAATAAAGAAATAAGTAAAGTAGCCATTGCTTTGCAAACTTTCTGCTCTTACCTCTCAAGTACCTTCAACAGACATTGTGCTCATATTAAATTATTTTATTTTATTCATACTTGCCCATCTTGTTTATCAGATTGTCCATTATATTTATAATATGCTTTCCCTCTAGAACTTCAAAGAGGCATATATAACACTGCTTCTGCCATTTTTCTCACAATCCCAAATCCTTATGATATGGATTGCACTGACAGTGTGTCATCTACTGAGCTTCCGTGGTTAAAGGTGGACTGAATGGCGTTTCCCTAGTCCTATTTCAACACCAATAAAGAAAAATATTTGTAGCTCAGGGTTGAAATGAGGGTCCTTAGTGCTCTCTGAGCCTGGTTGCTTTCTTGCAGACATTTTATTACCCAAACTAGATAATATCATCAGTGTTAATAAGGATTGGGATTTGCTCTAGCCACTAGTGACTTGAATATAAATTGAGAGCAAACCTCACTTCTTGCTGGCATCCTTACTAATGATGCCACCTAGTTTGGATAATGAAATGTCTGCAAGAAAACAACCAAGCTCAGGAAGCACCAGATTTGCTTGGATGTTGTGCAACACTAGTAAGGTGTCCAGCATCATCTATGGGCTTCGATTTATATGTCCAAAGAGACTCTTAACATACTGTGTAGCTATGTTTAGGAATGTGTTATGGACAAAGATAGCAATAAAAATACCAGCAGTGAACAAAGATTGTAATAAATCATACAATCATTACATTTGTTTATCCCCAAAGATTTTTTTAATTCCTATGGTAGCCTTTTATTTCTAGCCAAGTTTGTCATTATTTATGAGTGAGAGAGAACATAATCTTTTCAGCAGACTATCCATCTTTTCTACACCAATAAGAAATTTCAACTAGGATTAAAAGTGTAACTACCTTAGGTTTTTCCATCTCTCTTTTTCTGTTTGGTTTTCTGGACTTTCACTTTCATAGGAAGCCAAATACAAACCTTAAAAACATGAGATTGGGAGAGAAAGAGGACAAATCCATTACTGAATTATTGTTAACAGCTAAAAGGTTAACAGTCTCACAAAACAGGATGCTTGTTAAAAGTAAGGAAACAATCTACACAGGCAGGCCAACTTCCTTGTTCACAAGTTCTTCTGAATTCTGTTAACGTATTCTGTTCTGAAGATATTGTTAATGTAGCTTTACAATAAAATATAATTAATTTATCTGGTCATATTTTCTCTCTGGTCTGCCTGGTAAGGCTGACTCAATCTTGCAAATTTGAAAGTAAAATTTTCCCAGAGTCAGTCCGAGAACTTAGGAAGGGTCCTTGTTGAGTGTCTTATTCCACCCATTGTACAGCTGAGGTCTATGCAGTCTGTTATCTGGTTGTTCCCAAGGCAGCATCTCTTTGTCTCTGTCTCCCAAGGTCTTTTCCACATACTCTTACAACGATTAAGGCCTTGTTACATACATATATAATTTTTATTAATGAGATTTTCAACAGAATTTAAAAGGTACCAATTTTAAGTACCAATTTTATAGGAATAAAAGAAAAAAAACAAATGGGCAAAGAAGAAATAAAAAGAGAGAAATAAGAAAAGGTTTTAAAGAAGTGGCTTCCAATCTTAACAGTGAGTATAAATCCATTGAGATTTTACCCTTTCTCTCTAAGGCTGCATCGTAATTTCCTTCTTTCCATACTCTACCCTTTGTAATAATCAAATCCAATAACAGCTCAGTTACTATGCAGAAACAACTGCATTGATGTCTTCTCTTATATTAAAACAGAACCAGTAAACTTATTGTTTCACAACCTTTCACATCCACAACCTTGGATCCTGTATTTGAACTCCTTTTTCAAGCTGCCATGATGATACAGTGAGGTAGCATATGGGAGCCAAGCAAGTCAAATATCTCAACCCTTCCTAGTGCATAAAAGGTAACAAAATACTTCTGCTGTTGCAGTGATGTTTCCTGATAGAATACTGAAAATTCCTCATTTACCAGAAAAGCCAGCATCAGCTCAGGAATATATAATAAAAAACCCCAAAGTAAACTGACAGCAGAAACAGATCTAATGGTCCCTTTGAGTTTTTTCCTATTATTTTTTTTTTTTTTAATTTTGCCAGAGGATGGGCATGTGTTTATCCCATGCATATGGGGGGGAGGTGGTTAATTTACATGCCCATCTGGAATCTGCATAGGATCATATTGCACAAGGATGTAGTACATAGGTATTTGTAATTACAGCTTAAAATTAATGGGCGTTTGGAGCATCCACACACCTTAAAAGTGATAATAATTAGCTTCATACATCTAATAACAATGAAGCTGTGTCTGGATCCACTACATAATTACATTTATGAGCCATATTCAAGCACCAAAGATTACATGATGAGGGCATAAGAAAGGTGCCTTTACAGGTTCCACCTCTACTGTGCACCTGCTTTCCTCCATATGATGGAAGGTCTATATAAAGCTTGTTGTACTTTGGTCTTTATACTGGAGGTAGCATTTAAAGCAGGAGAGAGCCATCCCAGGGGCCATCTGATGCTCAGATGACGGGGATTTGATTAAGAAACTGGGACCTACAAGGGTGTCCCCATTTTTGCCTAATGCAGTTCTATTCACATGAAGATTTATAAGCCTCCTAGAAATGAATCTTTCCTCCTGCTGTTCTATGCAGAAGTCACAATAATGAGGGAAACAACATGGAAGTGTGAAGCCCATAGATGCCATGTAAGCTTTCCTGCCCATTCTGTCCCTAAAGCAGCCTCAACATACCTGTATTTCCACGCCAGGGTTCCACTTCATCAGACCCAAAACTCAATGCCTAAGAGGAGTGACCCATCCGCTGAAGTGCCCTTTGTCGTTCCAGAATGTAACAACTTTCAGAACCATCTGAATCTTTCTCTTTTATGGGACTGTTTCATTTGTTCATTTAACATTCTGACGGTTTCTTATGGGTCTTGAAAATGATTTTTTTCCTTGCTGTATTCTAAACTTATCTATAACCAATAATGTCCCAAATGTTTCATACAATTTGTGTAAATGAGTTTTAAAGACTTTTGTTTAAAAGTACAAAGGTCAGAAACATACCAAAAGTCTATAAAACCTGTAGGCAGAGTTAATTCATCCAGCCTCATCTCTGACATGGGGATAATTGGATACGACTAAATTAATTTATTATGAAAGGACACAGGGTAACATGAACTACCAAGAGGATAGGAAATAAAATCAGACAAAAGCTCTGTAACAAATGGGCATGATTAACTGCATCCAAAACAACTTTATTTTTTTTCCCAAGCATAGCACAAAAGGTAAATCTTCATTTGCTGGGAGTTGGCTTCTACTTTCTGTGCCTGAAACCATCACAAAGATGATTTGCAAAAGAATAGATTTGTTTGGATGTTGTGCAACACTAGCACAGTAAGACCCTCAGGTCTATTGCTCTGTGGAATGATTGACTATAAAAAGATGTCCTCCATCTTAATTGCTTCCAATTGTGGATTTGTACAAGAGCACATTCTGAAAAACGTATTTTCAGTCAATCATATAGAATAATGTCAGTAGCAAATAACCTATTCATTCATGAAATCAGGGTGTTCTTACCATCTTCGGTAAAGATAGGGGCAGTATGTAAATAGTGGATTATGTTATCATCACGTTCGAATGGACATTCAACTTGTTTCCATGTTATGAATTCTCCTACTTGTCTAGCCAGTTCCAAGAATTTCTGTATCAATTTTAAAAAGAAATGTTTAGATCAAAGAAAATAATTCTCCAGTAAAATTAGGACTGCAGCTACAGAATACTCCAATATTAATCTGATAACATGTCTGAAAAAAGAGAGAGTAGGTTATCCCCATGAAGATTTTCTATATTTTTGTAATGTGGGATGAAATACATTCATTTGCAGTTCTGATAAAATACTCTGATCTTCTTTACATAAATTTGCTGTGAGACTATTTTGGCAGCCTTCTAAAATTAGGCATGTCACTAATTAAGATTAAGTACTTATACAATATATGAATATAGCTAAGTATTGACATAATTATAATAATACATCATTAATTCCAAATCAGAATCCTTCTTTAACTTCTTTACTATTACCTCTCACTTGACAGTAATGGCTAAATTCTTAATAAAGACTAAGTAAATATACAATAAAATATCAGAGTTATAAACATATTGAAAAAAGACATAGACAGTAACAATAACTGAAATTCACCACAAATAATCTTATTTGAATAATCATTTATCATGCATATTAGACAGATTAATTATTCTTAAATGGTGTTAATACCTAATCATAAAGCAAAGAATAATATATTCATCTGACATTTTAACCTGATTAGACTTATTATTTTAACACAATCCTTGGAATTTATAGTAGTTTTGGTAGTGAATACTAATGCAAAGCTTTATTCCAAGGGTGCTTCATTCAGGTTGAACTTGTAAAATATTATTTAAAAATTAAATACTGATATTGCATATGTATAACATATGCAGGAACATAAACTGTCAATCATGTGTTATTATTCTCAAGTGGCCTTTGCAAACAAAATTGTCCCTTAAGACTTGGGTCTCTGCCCCTGGGTTGTTGTTTTTGGGGGGTGGGTGGGAGATGTTTCCCAGTTCTGCAAATTGCCACAGCAGCTAATTTCCAACCCAACTGCTCTGCAGGGCAGCTACTGCTGCTTCCCAAGTCATGATCCTCCCCAAAATACCTCATTTTCTTAAGCAATAAGATGGAAAAAACAATTTGCTGTGATTCTCCTTCCCTGAAAATATTCTACTGGAAGAAAGCAGGCCCTGTCTGATACCCAGAGCAGGAAAGGGTAATATCAGCAAAATAGTTGCAGAGAAGGATGGAGTCAAAAAACCCCATAAGGAATAAAATATATTTTTGTAGGCAATGTAAATATCCATATTTCTGCCTCTGACTACATCCTCTTCTATCACCTGAACAGGTCCCCGTAATTTTCAGGGGATGTTTTTTAAAGGAGGGACAAGGGGCTGAGAAAATTCTGTTGTGTAGCTAGCTCTCAGGATGCAGGCTTTGTACATATGCAATGCATTTGTGCTTTGACAAAAAAAAAAAAATTGAAATAAGATTGCAAAGCTCTCTTTTTACACAGCAACTGCCTTTGTTTCTTTACCATGAAACAAAAGCACCATAGCTCAGAAAACATTTGCCGCAATAAATAATACTTGCTGTGCTTACTTCAAAGTTGACATGCCCATTTGGAAGGCGGTTTGCACATCCCTCATTCAAAAAATAAATATCTTTGATCAGTAGGCTGAAGAAGGGGATCACAATCTGTGAAGAGAATGGCATAACAATTGTCTCCGCTATTCTATTATTGACGCACAAAGCAACTCACACAAAATAAAGAGATTAACTTTTCAATTCTAATGAACAAACGGTAATGTGAGCTAGGCCTAATGATTCCATGAAATATCTGCAGGGCTGAATTAAACTTCCCTGCGCACACAAAGGCAGAGGACACAAACATAGGTACAATAATTCCACAAAGACTAAATACATTGCAGGTGTTTGATTGATTAGGTATTATTGTTTAATAGGATAATATTTATAGGCAAATAGGATCATTTTATGCAAAGGAAAAGTTCAATGTGAATTTAACAATCAACAATCTACAGGGAGATCTACAAAGCCAAGTAAACATTTACAATTAATCCCCTTTAGCAAACATATGGAATAGATATTTGTGACAAAAGCCTGTGATACACGCAGCAGAAATTCCAATCATATGAATAAAATATGTTCACTTATGTTGCAATACTGGCACCATGGATAAAATACTTTTTTATACAGAGCTTGATTTTGTCATGAATCAACACCAATGAAATCAAGTAAAACAACATAGGTTTACTTTAGCTATATTATCCTTTACATGTATCGTTTCATTCTGAATTTGGAACTCTTCTAACTATAACTAACTACATAATTTGGAGTGCATAAACTCATATAGAAACCAGTGCAAAGGAACACAAAGATGAAGTCCAACACCCAATGCATTTTGAATACTAGACAATTCAGAAAAAGCCATTTTCCCAGATTAGCCTGAAAAGGTACAATTGACATTCCTTCCTTCCTTCCTTCCTTCCTTCCTTCCTTCCTTCCTTCCTTCCTTCCTTCCTTCCTTCCTATCCATCCATCCATCTTAGATTCATGTCCATTTATTTTTGCAACGTAAGACGGTGTATATAATATTCCTTCCTATTTTCCCAACAATAGCCCTATGAGGTGGGTTAGTTCAAGAGACAGTAAGCATCTGAAAGTCACCATCTGGTTTCTGTGCCTTTGGAGCTCACAGTCCCTTGGTTTAGAATCTAGTGCCTTAGAAAATACAATTTCGTGTACTGTATATGTGGTTATGTGTCTGTACAACACACACACACACACACACAGAGAGAGAGAGAGAGAGAGAGAGTGAAGCAGCCTTTATCAGCTTAATCTGATGAAGTATGCTGAAGATAAGGAAAGAAAGAGAAGAGAGAGAGAGAGAGAGAGAAAGGAGATCTTAGATTTGCTTAATATGAAATTCTGAGTTTTCCTATCTATGCCAGGGAAGAGGAAGAAATCATTCATATTGTCCTGCAATGAAATCAGCTATGCTTGAAACTGAGAAACTGAAGGTATGATATTCTTCTCCCAGGTTTGTTTTATTAGCAATTTCAGTGACTGGTGATAAAAACTGGAATGCTGTCAATAAAATCTCCAGAGCGCATAGATATCAATAAACAAGTGACTTATTTGGATACATCTTTAAGTTATTTGTGATTCTTTCTCTACTCTGTATCTGAAAGAGATAACAAGCAATTTGCCTTCTCTGGGATGAACATAATAAATAGATTGCACAGTTTCTCTTCCCATTAGGCTCTGCTAGTAAAGGTTCTGCCTTAAAATACTGTAAAAGAGAAAATGGAATACATTATCATAAACTGCAGAGCAATAACAGGACACCAGTATCCATTCTATAGATGTACACTTGCTAATTACTGCATGGGTAACAATTAGCTGCAAAGAAGTCCTATATAAAACTTGAAAAAGCTATAAGAGAATTCCACTGACAATCTTTTGGACTCTTTTACAGATTATGCTGTGTGTGTAGCCTCTGTGCTTAGCAGCCAATGCAAATATTATCCTGAAGCAAAGTTCATGGAGCATCTAATGGAAATTTCACATCACAGAAGGCTGACTCAGCTCCCTAAAATATTGGGAGATTAAACAAATTTCAAAGTTGACCCTGATGGGGCAAAATTGTGGTGGAAATGCATAATTAAATATTGTGGAAGTTGGTCTTCTGGTTTTTCTGTCTTAACATCAGAGAAACAGATGTGAAACTTTGCTGGTGCTCCATTTCTATCCCTCTGTGTTAAAGAGGTTTTTAGAGTGTAGGAAGAAAGTATGTTGGAAGCACAAAAGGCTAAACCCTATAATGATTGTATTATAAACTGATGTTGGATCCTTTATTTACCAATAGTTACATTAATGTATATCCATCAGCTCCCAATAAGATGTTGAATAACTCTGCAAGGACTCAGTAAGTTTCTGAACTCAGTTCAGATTGTTGATCTTAATCTTCAGAGCTACAAGATTCAAGACCAAAACATCTACTGGATTGCTGTTTCCTGCATGAGCCCATCCATCCATCGTGACCTTTTTGTGACTCTAAAATCATGTGAAATAAGATATTTTTTTCCAGCAGCAGGAAAGAATAGATTCCTTGTTTTATAAAACTCTGAGAAAGAAAAGAGGCATAATGTTCATAACCCACCATTCCCTTCTCATTGCATCTTACTTTGGTGGTTTCTTTTCTTTTCCTTTTTTCTTTTTTTGTCTGTTGATTGACTGATGACTTCAGAGGAATGAAATAATGCTCAAGAGATTATATTTTCACTGACTGAAAATATAAATCTATCTGATTTTTCTCAAACATCAAATTACACTTTCAATGAAGTCTTTTGTATCTGTGTGCCCAGGGTAACAGGATCATTCCACACAGCAGCTCTAGCGTACCATTTTGCAGGGAAACCCTTAGTTTCCCTGCAAAATATTGCTGTTTCTCTGTTTTCAATATGCTAATTCAACCATTTTTAATTGACAGCAGTTTGGATTTTATTTTTGTCACACTGAGTTCATCTGTATCCATGCTGCCCTTTATTGCTTCTTTTCTTCATATGCTGATTCAATAAATTCCTACTGCTTTTTAACTGCTTCATATCAAATGTATGTTGATATAAATGGCAGAAGTAACAAAATTAAATAATTTCAGATAAAACTGTAAAGGGTATGGATGCCAACCTCTAAAATGCATTGATGGCCAAGATTCTATGACATCATTTTGGCTTTCCTGTTTAACTTCCTTTATTCTCAATGCCCCAAATTAAATTCATCAGGCAATTGCTTCTTGATAATGCTCCTTTAGAATGCAATGGATGTGAATGGCACATGCTCAAATGTGTTGACAATTTGCAAGGCAAATAAGATTGCCAATTAAAGTGTTAAGATATTCGTCTCTTTCATTTGCCTAAAATAATTCACTTCATGATATTATATATGCCTCCATTCAAAGCAGATTGTCTCTTACAGTCTCTTTATCTTTGTCCATACAGATTTTGCTTCCGGCAGTTCACAACTCAAAGCTTCTAAGCTGACAATTTTTAACAGTTTTTTTTTTAAATTAGTCACTGCCTAACTTAGGAAATGCAGAAAAATATTATGTTTTCTTTGTTCAAGTGATAAACAAACAAACCAACAAATCTAAGCACCATATTTTATACATATCTCTTAAAAGGCAAGAATGGAATTTGGTTATAGGATCAGCAATGAATAATATCTTAAATAAGTAATAATAAGATTTTATTACATTTTCCCCAGCATGAATAAAGATATTCTCTACTGCATCCTTCTAAGAGGTAAATAACATTTTAGAAAGGGGTAAAACATCTGCTTCCAGATGTTATTAGATTCCCAATTTCATCTTCCCTATGCAGCATGTTAAATGATGAGGGATGTTGGAAGCTATACATCTGGTTCACGTATAGTAATCATGTAATTTAATTCATTTTTACTTTGAGATGTGAGCCTACCTATTGTGGTTTAATGGCATCTACTCAGAAAATCTTTTTAAATAAATCCTCACATAAAGTTACACATGAACACAGTTTTCTTGGCAAGGTATTATTTATTTTTATCTCATTCTCATTATTTTTATAAATAATTCAAGGTGGCAAACATACCTAATACTCCTCCTTCCTCCTATTTTTCTTACTACAACAACCCTGTGAGGTGAGCTAAGAGAGAGTAAGTGGCCCAAGGTCATCCAGCTGGCTTTCATGGTTAAGGCATAGTCTCCTGGTTATAGACTGGTGCTGTAACCACTAGCCCAAACTGGAATGTTGGGGATATTCATAAAGGAATAGCAGTGCTGTTTATAGTTACGTGACAATCTTGTAATTCTGCATGTATGACATCCCCACAGCTTTTCTTTATGGAGGGAGAAATACTGTTTTACACATTCAATGTCTCTAAAAAAAAACACATAGCCAGTTTGGTGTATTGTTAAGGTGCCAGGCCAGAAACTGAGAGATTGTGAATTCAAATCCTACATTAAGCACAAAGCTAGCCAGGTGACTTTGGGCCAGTCATTCACCGTCAGCCCTAGGAAGCGGGCAATGGCAAAGCACTCCCGAAATTTTGCCAAGAGAACTGCAGAAATTTATCCAGATGGCTGCCAGGGCTCAACATTGACTTGAAAGCACACTCGTGTGTGTGTGTATGTGTGTGTGCACACACACACACACACACACACACAACAAAGGTACAATTTATTTCAGCTTCCTTTAATAGTCCCTAAACTATCCCAAGTATAACATTGTTCATGTGAAACTGCCTATTCTCAGTAAAGATCAATCTAGACAGCTTGCACTAGTATCTTTTGGAAACCTTTCAATCACCACTATCTATATTTTATGTTTTCTGACAGCGAAATACACTAAAACACACTTTCCCAAAGGTCTTTTTCCAAAAAGCAATTGGATTTTCTTGGCTTTTTCCTTTGAAATAAGAAGTGAAATGTCTTCAAAGGGAAGAAAAACCAACCCGAGAATGGTAACCCAGTTACCTTTTGGAAAAAAGCACCTTTAGGACGATTATGACCTGGATAATTGCGAATCTCCATAGGCATTTAACAAACATTTGTTTTCTCAGTTATATGAATATACAGCAGAGTAATGCAGATGTGCTAACATGAAGAATATACAGCATGTTGCAAAGAATCTTTTAAATAAAGAATATTTGTAGCTCAGGGTTGAAATGAGGGGTGCCTCTGGAATAATTCGAATAATATACAGGAAAGACTAATGATGTGTCATTAGCAAGCAGAGATAATGAATTAAAGCAGAGTGCTGACTGACTTCCAGTTAGAAGGCAAAGGTAGGAAGGATCCTAATGTGTATGAGCACTCATATTGCACCAGCCTTTTGCAATTGTTCTTTTCATTACTTTTCTAATAGAATTCTAAATAATAAGTGCAACAATCCCATTGGCAGCAATAGGGGACAGAATGGCACAATTTGGAGGCAGATCAGGCAGACATGACCTTGATGTCAATTTTATCATGGCTCTGTATGCAATGTGCAAAAAGGGCTTATGAAACCACTGAAGACGTAGAGAAAAAAGGATTTCATGAGTGTGTGGTACTGTAATTCCCACTCTTGATAAAATCCCACTTCAGGTAGCTGTGGACCCGTGTTTGCGAACCTATGGCACGCAAGAGCTCACCCAGAAGAGGCCCACTGTGCATGCGTGCCTGCCGCCACCGCCCAATAGCTGATTGACAGGTACTTGGTACTCATGCATGGGGGGGATGCATGGGAGACACGTGCGCATGTGCAGATGGATGGTGCAAGGGGTGATAGCGTGCGCGTGCGCAGATGCACAGCAAGGGATCGTGCACACATGCGCAGATGCGCAGTGCGTGGAAGGGGAATCTCACATGCATGTGCAGAGATGCATGGTGCATGGCGGGAGAATCGCGTGTACATGTGCAGGCAAGGGGATCGTGTGCGCATGCACAGATGTGCAGCACGCTGCAGAGGGATCACGTGTGCGTGTGCGGGGGGGCAGCATGCATTGCCTTCTGGGTGCTGGCACGCAAATGTACGCGCGCAAGCAATTATCGGCATGGGAGCTGAAAAAGGTTTGCCACCACTGCTCTAGACTTACAATAGTTTGTTTAGTGACCATTCAAAGTTACAACGGCACGGAAAAAGAAGGTGACTTATGATTATTTTTCGCACTCATTGCAGCATCTCCATGGTCACATGATCAACATTCAGATGCTTGGCAACTGGTTCATATGTATGATGGCTGCAGTGTCCTAGGGTCATGTGATCAACTTTTGCGACCTTCTGGCAAGCAAAGTCAATGGGAAATCCAGATTCACTTAGCAACCACGTTACTAACTTAACAAATGCAGTGGTTCACTTTAACAGCTGTGGCAAGAAAAGTCATAAAATGGGGCCAACTCACTTAACAAAATCACTTAGCAACGTAACTCACTTAGCAACATAAATTTTGGGCTCAATTGTGGTCGTAACTCGAGGGCTGCCTATATTATGTGGTAGTTAGAATGCACAGCTAAAATTGGATGCATCCAGATAGAAGCCCATGTTTTATCACAAGCAGCTGTCTTTCAGCCTCCCTCACTTCGCAGGGCGAGGATGAATTCTTGGAGGTGGCATGTAAAATGTTTATAATTATAATAAGAATGGTACCTTTTCCCTGTTGCTGTGTGCTGTTAAGGACCGATGAGCAGCTCCCCTTAAGGCAGTCCTGTAATTGTAAAAATTGCCAGTAGGATCCATCTGGTGCTGAAATAAGAGGGAGTGGTGAGATGTGAAGAGAGAAGGGCCATGTGTAAGTTCTCAAGTCAGATAAAAGCTGGTATTATCTTTCCATCACAGAGTTTATAACTTGATAAATAGTAGTGACACAGGTGAATTGAAAAGATGAGTTGGTTTTTCGCCCTGCAGGTCAGTCACTTTCTGTTATCTCCTTTTATTCTCTCTCCTTAAGTCTATAATGTTTTTATGGAATAATTCCTAAGGATGCACGTAGAAGGCTTCCCAATGCTATTTTTTTGTGAGTAGGGTGGCTTGTTCCTACTTTATTTTGTGGTTGTATCTGGATTGAAATGAATTTACTCTTCTATAAGAACGTTTCCATTCTGGGATTTCTGGATCAAGAATCTGACATGGTTTGAGAATTCCATTTAATCACGTGACCCTTGATTATGAACATTCAAGTCTCAACAAATGTAAAATTCTCAACATATTACCTCAAGAATAAAAAACTTGGCTGTTTTCACTTTTGACCAGGTCTTCTTTAGCCTAGATACTGGACTCATGTTCATTCCAGCTGGAGGGAAAGAAGATGACCAATAGAGGAGAACATTAAGAAACAGAGTAATTGTTGAATATCCTTAAAGTGATACAGAAGTGACATTGGTACACTTACAGATGATTGCCATCAATGAATTAAAGTTCCCTATGTTAAAGCACTCCCGGGCGACATCAATGAAGAATTCGATGACTTGTGCCCTCTGCTTCTTTTTGGCAGGCTGTAATAAATAAACAAGCAGATGAAAATGGGGAAAAAAATGATTGAAATGTCATCACTCCCACCAATAGGAAATGTCCTATTTTTACTCCTCAATCCAATGGTTTAACATGTTAGATAATTCCATCTAATCACATTGATTACTGGCATTCACTCCTGGCAGCTCTAGGAATCAGAATTCTCATTAGACAGTGACCAAAGCCTAGTATATCTTTAAAAAAAGGTCTTCATCACTGATCTGACAAACATACATGCTAAAGACAATTAATTCCAGAAATATTCTCTCTAGCAACTTATCAGCACAATGACAGCTATTATAACTATTTTTCCAGGCTTGAATTAAATAGATAGCAAAGGAATCCTCAATGTCTGTCTTAGTTCTGCAGACCACAAATAAGTTTATTTTTTCTCCACTGTGTATGGTGGATGGGGCTCTATTTCACCATTAAAGAGCAAGAGTCTTCTTGGGCTCAGAGTTCCTGCTCAATGGATGGATGGCAGCTGTAATCAGGAAGGCTTTTCCGTAGCTATCTGATATCTCAGTTATTTACTTTTTTAGATCAGGGACTCTTCAGACAGATACTCGTGACCTAGTCCTTGCTTGAGATTTACTGCAACATTTCTATGAAATGCATGCGAGCTTAAAGCTTTTATTCATTTTAAAAAGGACAAACATGCTCGAACAATTATTTTTAATGAGACAAGGAAAAAAAAAAACAATTCTCCAAATAATTTATTACCAAATGCTTTCAAAATGTCATAATCATGCCATCAGTATAACAGGATCTGACTTACCATGCAAATTTCTGTTGCTACAAGATAGCAGAGTCTATTGAACCATTTCACGTAAGCTTCAAGATTACTAGTCTTCTTCTGTTCACTGAAACAAGGCTGGAAAATTAAAACAAAAAAAAACAAAAAAGGACAAAACATGACATACGCGAAATCCTCCAGGTTTTCCTTTTTTGAGTTTTGGTTGTTTTAAATTATCGAAGCTATCTAAAAGTGTTGCTCAAGTGACAACAGCATGTATATTTTTGAACATGTGCACATGGGTACACAAGGCTGCCTGACAGACCAGGCACATGGAACTCTGTTCCAAATATAAAAAGATGGGAAGTGTCAGATGTCTTTGATTTCACAGCCTACAGCCCTTTCTGCAAATCAGATCAATGCAAGATGAACAATTCTGTTTTGCCAACAGCAACTGTTCAGAATGCTTCCACCCCCTCCCCGCTCCTACACTCACTGAGATATTAACAGGCAGGATAGTACTATTTGCAAAGAGCAACAAGAATCTGGAAAATGAAATCAGAGGAAGGTCCTTTTTTGTGTAACGGCCACATTTCATCTATGCCTTTAACAGAGTTCTCCAACGTTGACAAATGCAATGGCTGACGCTGTCGTCGGAGCTGGCTAACATAAAACAATATTTCTGAGAACGAGAGGGGAAGACATGGCAGCAAATGTCCTGGTTCTTGATTGGAATGTTACTTGCTTTGAAGAATTGTTTCTTTCAGAAGATAATACCTTTGCTCCTGATCTCTTTATCTTGCCCTACCCTCTATATCATCAGTTGCTGTGAAACAAGTCACCCAAATGGCAAAATTCATCAGCAAATGTCGTTCTTGTGACCTAAACTTTTTAGACAGAGTTTCCTAGGCAACTGCTCAGGACTGGGACCTCCTAGCTCTCTTTCAAATGAATTTCAATCTAGGGACTTAAGGTGCAATTCAATAACATCTATTCTGTAGACATTCCCATTGAGTCCAGTGGGATTTGTTCCCAAGATGGTATGCACACTCTGCAACATTAAACCACTGAAAAAGATTGCAACCACAGAGAGCATTTTAAAAGCATTTATGAATCTGTAGTTTGAAATATTTGTATAACTTTTAGCAACCACTAGAGGGTATCAGGAAATATTAGAACAAATATCTCTTATTAGCATTATAATTTCTAGCTCAGGCCTTAAGGATACAATAAATCAATGAGGAGGAAGTTTTTATGCAGAGAAAAGGGGATTCCCATAAGTGGAATAAATATAGAAAAAGATGCCATTGGGATTTTTGGTTTTCACAATATTTGCAAATTTCTCCATTGCAGAAAACATCCCCTAGGGCTAAAGTTGATTAATGAGAGATGATGGAGTTTTATGTAAAGCAGGAAGTACTTTAAAAATGCAAGCAGCCTGAAGCAAATTCAATGTGATGGAATATAACTAGAAAAGAAATAACATTGCTGTTGTGGTTCATGGCAAGAGAGGCAAAAGTCATTTAAAGACGGGACTTAAGCATCCGTTTCCATATACAGCAAACTTGCTTAGAATGATATTGTCTAGTTAACAAATTATTTTGAGCTCTATTTCCTACTATAGGTAGTCCCCGACTTATAGCCATTCATTTGGTGACCGTTCAAAATTACAATGGGACTAATAATGTGATTTATGACCATTTTTCACACAACTATTGCAGCATCCTAATCAAAATTTGGATGCTTGGGAACTGGTTCATATGGCGGTTGTAGTATCCCGGGCTCCTTTTGCAACTATCTGACAAAGCATAGTCAATGGGGAAGGCAGATTCTCTTAACAACCATGTTACTAACTTAACAACTGCAGTGATTCACTTAACAACTGCGACAAGAAAAGTTGTAAAATGGGGCAAAGCTCACTTAGCAACTGCCTTGTTTAGCAACAGAAATTTTGAGCTCAATTTTGGCCGCAAGTCAAAGATTACCTGTACTTTTTGTTCCCTTTCTAGAATGTTTTTTATTCTTTCATATCTGATATGCTATCCCTAATTATTTCTTTACTTTCTTCCCTTTGCCGCAGCCTTTCCTTTTCAATCTAGATAACAGTCAGTGCTAAATTACATTGTTAACACATTATATCTCTTTTCCTTGATTCTTAAAATTTGCTGACTAATCTAACTTAATTTCATTCCAGACATTCTTTTTGTAATTTCCACCAACATCTACTTCTCGCCTATTTTTATTTCATTTAATAGAGAAGTCCACTTTGTTTTCTATAGATTACACAGGCCTCCAACTAAACGTATTGTCTTGGCTACTGTTGTTATACAATGGCCAGATTTTGCAAATGCTAAATAAATAAAAGGACATGCGGCAGTATAAGCAAGGAAGCCTGTACCAGCGCACAGTGTGACTTGTTTTTTGCACCAACAGATCAGATTTAGCAACATGCTGCTCACAAGATTCAAAGAAGCAAGCTCCTCTGCCTCCCATGAAAGGACCGAAATTGTGTGAAATTGCACAACGGTCTAGAAAAAGTTCATTGATCCTTGACACGCCAACTACATACTAACATTATTTTTAGCAATAATAGCCATAACCACCAGAGGCTTAGCAGGTTTATTCAATAAACAACAGAAAGAGAAGGAAATTATAGCCAAAGTGAGGTGCAGGAAAGGCAATCCCCACACACACCTGCTGTTTGGTACATGATCTCTTCCACTGCCATTACCCTATACTTCTGATATGTTTCAGTTATAATTAGAGATGAAAGAGAGGCATTTAAAGGGTCGTTATAGTTAGGCTGATGCAACTGTAGCAACTGAAGCTACCAGGTGTTGAAACATTACAAATGCTTTATGTTCAGTCCACCAGCCTAAATATAAAACAAATTGTTATCTTTTTTTATTAGCATTTAAAAAAAAATGACATGGATTTTGGTTTATAAACAATTGTAAAATATAACTAAGTCAACTTCCTTGGAACACCCTGTGCATGCTCTCTCTTCCTCTCTCTGTCCATACACATAAATACATGTTCTTAGGTGGCAGTTCATAACCACTTCTAAAGGATTCCAAGATACTATAAAAGTGTTTTCAGTGCTAAAATGGGAGAGTGTGCGAGCATAGGAGAGCGCCGGAAACCACATGCACATGCCAGGAAGCTGAGCGTTTGGTTTCTGGCACACTACCTAGTCTTCCGGTTTCTGCTGCGCATATGCGCGCAAAGGCCAAATGGCCGGCATGCGCATGCACATTGGGGAGCTGCTCTTCTGGTTTCCGCTGCTCCTACATGCGCAAAGATCAGCTGGCTGGTGCGCATGCACACGATGGAACCTGGAAGAACAACGGGTGATGGCTGGTGTGCCCAGAGAGATGGCTCTGCATGCCACTTCTGGCTGCATGCCATAGGTTTGCCATCACAGTATTATCATGTACTGAGCAATCAACGATCTCTTAATAGGCTAATCCAGTGGTCTCAAATTGGCAATTCCATTTGAAGAAGGGTGGACTTAATTCCCAGAATTCCCCAGTCTACCCAACTTCAAGTTGCCACAGTTGGGAAACACTGGGTCAATCATAGCAGAATTAGTGATCCACTCCTTGAAGTTTCTGATTTAATATTATATCAGTGCAACTTTTTTTGTCTTTTAATGACCCTGTGCATTGGGGTGGAGTCGCGGCAACTGAATGGAACTGAGTGTTTACTGGCTGGATATCTTTCTTGTTGCCAATCAGAGTTCGCAGCTGATATTTACTCAATGTACTGCCCAGGGAGAAAAATATCTGCCTCTACCTAGGATCGAACTCACAGCTTCCTGATTGTGAGGGAAGAGCTCCACCTCTTGGCCACTGCACCACTCTTTATATCAGTGCAACTGCATATGCAAAATATGCCTATGCCTGTGTAGCTGGACCACTCTAGTATTCCAGCTGCATTTGGAACCTGAAGTTTTCCTGGATGATGTAGAGCCTGGCAGACTATTGTGAGAAAGGATAAAAGGAAGGAAAACCAAAAGCTAGTACAAAGAATGCCAATCATTATGATTTTCTCTGAGATTGTTCTCACAACTGAGCTATTTCAAATGGATTATTAAAGAAGACAGATTCCTAACCTGACTACAACCGATCTGCCACTGAAGCCTTTAGGCACATTATCTTATAATGTAGTTGGTCAACCTTTTTATTTCTCATTTATTCCAGACCAGAAAAGGCTTATGATATTTGCAGGAAAGGCAAAGCCAATGCATAAAGAAGTGAGCTTGTTATCAAAACAACAGATTTTAGACCAGAAGAGGGCTTTTATGCTTCCCAACCATCTCTTTGTTTCTTCAATTCTCTTGCTGTTTTGACCTGAATAACAAGCATTCCTAAATGATCTCCAGCTTTTTGTCTCTTGGGTTTTGATAGGGGACTAGACTGGCACAATCTGCCCTAGCTGTCATTTTTTATGGCCTCTTCAATCTGCCAAGAGCTCCTGCCTTTATCTTGTCAATGTGGCTGCTGTGAAGGAGGTGGAGGGTTCAGCTGACACACTACTTCCTCCTGGCAGTGTAACATATCTCCACTTCTCTGGCTGACTGACAGAGCATGGCCTTTCAGAAAGTCAGGAAAAGGTGGGTGAAGAACACAGAAAGGATGCCAAGAAAAGCTGCAGTTTGTTGCATGACATTACTACGTTTTATAACAGAGTTGGAAAGGACCTTGGAAGTCTTCTAATCCAACTCAAGCAGGAGACCTTATACCATTTCAGACAACTGTCAAGTCTCTTCTTAAAAGCCTCCAGTGATGGAGCAGCCACAATTTCCTAAGGCAACCTGTTCAACTGGTTAATTGTTCTCACTGTTAGGAAATTTCTTCTTTAGTTTTAGGGATTTTTTAAAAAAACTTTGTTTTAGTTAGGAAACATTTTAAACTTTTAAAAAACATTTTAAAAGTTTTTTTTTTAAATTTTTTTTGGTAGATAACATTTTTCTAACTGAAAATGTTTCTTTTTTTTAAAAAAAAAATGAAAATCTATGCCTTAATCAAAGAGCTGAATTTTGGGCTACAGCATTTCTAGATAATGATAAATATCAGCACTGAATCTTTATATTTGCCAAGTTAGGAGAGGAAGTGGTAAATGCAGTATTTCTCCTGTGTTGCATCCCACCAATCCTGTTTTATGTCACTGTTCCTCTCTTGCTGGCGAGAGGGCAAGTTTGCAGGCCTATGAGAAGAAGCAAGTTTACAGGACTACAGCGGGCCAGTCCTAGCCATCTACAAAGACCGATCTCAAGTTTGTTTGAAGCCAACAAATAAATACATAAATTTACATTGAACTATTGCATCTTCGGCTCCTGCTGTAAACTTCCATAAAAAATGGGCTTACAGAGACTGGAAGGCTTCTTCTCATTTTCAACCATTTCTTTATTGGCACAGTTTTATTCTTCAGAAGAAATTAAATAAGTGAAAGATTCTTTCAACAAGAAGCTGATTGTTCTTTATAATTAATTCAATTTACTAGCTGGTTCTAAATTCTAAATTGAGCCGCTTACTGGTTCATTGGCCTTTGCCATGGTTGTTGGCTCTGTTTTTGAGTTCTCTGTATGTCCCCTGGAAGTCCTTAAGGGCAGATAATCTGTCAATTAATCAAAATACAGAAGATGTAGACATCAGTGGTAAAGACTAAGAAATTGGTGAGTAGACAGGTTCCCTGGAATCTCTCAAGATAATGGAAGGAATCTTAATCACCACATATGTTTCAGATGGCCGCTTCTCAGGGGGAAACTTCAGAACAACAGTTTTCCAAAGGTTGGAGCACCGGGAGACAATGGAATCAGTCATCTTGGCTGCAACCATAGCAGAGACTTTTAAAGGACACTAAGTTCACACACTTCATTTTCTAATTACTTTTGGAAATTGCTTATTAGTTACTTCTAAGCTATTAGAGATCTTTGGAACCACAGGCTAGAAAAAAGTTCATTGGGTGAGTTTATCTTCTACTCGGAACAAAAGAAAAATTAATTACAAACTGAAGAACTTAAATAATTTGAAATAAACAGCAAAAAGCTAAACAACATTTTTATCTAAGAAGTTATAACAAAATAAATGGTTCAAGATAAATTTTGAATGTTGACTTTTACTATAAGATTTTGGAATTAACTTTAAAAAATAAATAGCTTCTTGTGGGAAACAGAGTTATTTTGGTTATTTGGCAATTGCACATAGTAACAAAAGAGAAGGGATGATTTCAGAAACTGAACACTAGATGGCGTGAAAGATTTTAAGCAGAAGAAAAAACAACAACAAAGCCTGATGTTTGCTTATACTAGGATTTAGAGATTGATACAAAACATTATGTCAGAAATATTAAAGGAGACCTTTTAAGAATGGACTCAGAGGTTAGTAGTTGCAATATCAGTGCTACCAGTAATGATCTCTGCATTTATGATAGATTATGTCTAAAGATGTTAATGAAGGAATGACAGATGGAACAAATTTTATCTGATAAGATAGAGAAAACATAGAATATGGAACTACAAATTACAGGGCAAGAGAATGATTTGAAAAAGGATACTTTACTGGATATACAAAAGAAACTGGCTAGTTTTCAAAATTAAAAGGGAAATGTGAGTGAATGATCTGGAAAATATTTTCTTATTGAATCTACAAAAATTATTTATTAAAGGCTTGAAGAAATCTCTCTAAGGATATAAAGAAGAACTGAGGAGAAATCAAATCCTACAACAATAGCATGATTGTTAAATATAAAAGAAAGGAATAGAAGGTTGGTTTATTTGATCAAGGTTAAAATAAGACATTTTATTGCAATATTCTGGCAACCCTTTACGGACGTTTTGCTGATAGCAGGATTGCAAAGTTGATGTTTTATGGAACTGCTTATAAGTAAGCAATGGAATATGGGATGAAGAGATACCTGTTTATCCTTACAAGGTGTTTATCCTTCATTATTGTTGTAATGAAGCTTGGTAGTTACTTCTTTATATATTTCTCTCTTTTTTGTTATATTCTCTTTTAGTTTTTTCTTTTCTTACTCTTTTTATTCTTTATTTCCATTCTCTCTTCTAGTTCTAAGTTTAAATTTATATTTTTTACTATTGTAATTAAAATGTATTTGATTACTGGTCATCAAGTAATTATTCTTGAACTTAATGAAATAGGGCCATGTATGCATTGTCAGCCTAGAAAACAATACCTTGTCCAGATTTACACATGTATGAGTTTACATATGTGGGAATAGTGAAATATATTTCACTATTTCCACATATGAATAAATGAAATGAAGATTCATTCATTTTGTTTGTAGTCATGCCCTAACTTATTTGCCACCATGGAGAAATTACACATTCATGCAGTTGTAAAGACCATAAGCACTCATTTAAAAGGAGTAGTATGGATTAGACAAAAAGGAAAATATGGGCAGACGTACCTTTGTGCTGTCCAAGGGATCTTTATGGCCAAATGCTTGAACAAATTCTTCAGGACCAATATGACTTAGTCTTTCCTTTTGCAGTAGATAAAATGAGAGAGTGAAAGAGCACCCCTGAGAATCAAGTGCATTGATTATTTACAGTCCCAAAAGTACCACCATCTAGAATTGGGAGAAGATTTTAAAAGTGATTTATCACCCTTGGCTGATTGGCCTCTTCTGGTTTAATCACTCTAAGTAATACTTATGGACAGTATTAAAGTATGAACTAATGTGTGGCAGCGCAGGTCCTCAGTCCAAGTGTCTCGGGCCCATCTGGTTGCATATCATGTTTTTCTACACCACACTTCTTTATAATACTTTCTGTATCTCTATAGAAATGTTATGTGAGTTCAGCGTAGGAAATTTCCCAGAACTAGGATGGACATATACTAAGATGTTTCTGAATTATGACATAAAGAACCATAGAAACATGTTAGTGTAGTGGTTAAGGCTAGAAACTGAGAAACCAAAGTTCTAGTCCTGTCTGAGGCACAAAGCCAGCTGGGTAACCTTCAGCCAATCACTCCAATCAGCCTAGGAAGCAGGCAATGGCAAACCACTTATGAAAAAACCTGCAGAAACTAGCCCAGACAACTCTCAGGGGCCAAAAACTGACTCAAAGGCACAAAAGCAAATAAACATAAAAGCTGGGAAGGTTAAGGGCTTTAGATTGGCTTCTTTTAAGTTTAAGATAGCCTTGATACTTTTGAACTTAAGGATTTCATATGTACAGTGGATGAGAGGTGGTATTCAGCAGGTTCTGACTAGTTCTGGAGAACCGGTAGCGGAAATTTTGAGTAGTTACCACCTCTGGTAAATACCACCTCTGACAAGAGATTTCACAGTATCCTTCCCCTGCCACACCCACCAAGCCACGCCCACAGAACCAGTAGTAAAAAAAGTTTGAATCCTACTAAAATGCCAGATTTTTTAAGAAGTAAAAAAAAAATCAGACCAAGTTAAATTCCTTCAGAATTTTTTCCACTTTTAATATAACAAATAAGTTGTACAATTCAACTGAAAAACAAAATGAAATCTTTTAGGGGAAAAATAAGTTGCATTAATTAAACAAAAAGTTACTGGATATGTTGACAATAAATGTTCAGGATCTGTCCTTCAAAATTTATATAATATCACCACAATGTAATCTTTTGTCTAGTTCTCTCAAGAAGAAAGTTAGAAAGACAGAAGCATGAATTGGTAATATTACACTGGTGTTTCTTACAGCAACAAGGAAAAAATAATTAAAAATAGAAAATGCTTCAGGTCCAAATAAAAAAAGATAATAGAGGAGATGCAAGCTCAAAAATTTAATTTGTTTTTTTTTAAGTAAATATAAATTAAAACTGTCTCCTCACAAACTTTTCCCATTATACCCCTACCTTTCCCCATTTGGAACTTGTTACTTTTAATCAGCAACTATGGATCGATTATGAGGACATCTTCAACAAGAACCCATCTTTATGTATTTTTTGAAAACACTTAAAAACATAATAGATACAATTAAAAATCACCTGTGGTACATGATTTAATTTTTCATGCTCTAAACTGCATCAGTTGGTATCCCAGATTAGGTATGATTTGGTCTAAACAATCTTGACTCCTTGATTGACTCTTAAGGCAGGAAGAGTAACCACAATTGTTCCTTCCTGGTTCCTGTCCTCCTAGTCTTTTGCTGATAGGATTCAGAGGATATCGGCAATACAGACAGACTTGCTCTGATATTGCAATATTTAAATTCTTATAAAAGATGTGGATCTCACTGTTAATAAATGAGCTCTCCCGGACTGCAGTCAAACATGAATGTCCATACAATTGACTCAAACGTTCATACTGGATTATAAGTTTTGAAATCTCAACAAGAATTTTTCAGATTTTTTTCTGTATAAATAACCAGGAGATGAAACCAAGTATTTATGCACTTACCAGTTCTACATGAGTTAGCTGTTGGGCCAAAGTATATGGATCACTGCAGACATTCAACATTTCTCTTTGGATGGAGGGAGGCTTACTTTTAAAAGCTACCACTTTATCCGAAACAGCTGCACTGATCTTGACTATTCCTTCTTGGCCATGGTTAAGACTTGCAAGCTTCTGATTCAAGGTTTGTAGAAGCTGATTCATCTTTTTCCAATATGCCTAATGTGAAGAAAAGGAGGAAAGGGACAATTACACACTTCAAGTAAAACATTTTTAAATGTTGGGGAACAAATCTTTTGAATCAATGTTTCTATTCAAGAATGGAATGATCAGACATAGATTAGAATAATTTTATTTCCAACCATCTATTCTAGAATATCCAGTCAATTTAATTATAGTTCCACCCTAAGTTCCATCCTATAGTTGTCCACCACAAGACTAACATCTAGCCAAAACATTTGTGAGTTTGTGCTCACTGCCAATTGAGCTCACTGACCACACAAGTTAGCATAGCTTCTCCCCCATATCCTCTGTTTTACCAATCTTATGAGTCCTTCTCATTTTTAAAATCTCTGAAACATGGACTGTTGATTGTTTTGAAACACATGTAGAATATCTTATGCAAGAAATGCCAGTGAAATACTATCATTTAGATTGTCATGGCTGATTTATATGCTTCACACAGTTGTCAGTATTCCAATTACAAATACTTACATCTGTAAAACATCTCATGATGTTGGCAACAGTGCCATTTTGAATCATTTTACCCTCATATACTACTTATGATGTTCATTCAATGTAGCACTGTATTGACGTGACCAAAACCTTTACAACACTTCTCCTAAATTAGTTGTCCTATCACTCATGGCACCGTGGTATTGAAGCTGCTCTCAGTTATCAGGAAATTATTTTGAAAACAAAGATGAAACAGATCACAGGTGGTATGGGTTACACATTATTTAGTGAGATGTTCAAGTTAATCTAATACAGCAGTTGCTCCCAATGAAGCAAAAACAACAACAAAAAAAACCCCAAATTAATTGAGGTTAATTCTATCAGTACGGGTTCTTAAGATGTGCTGAAGATCAGAATACAAAATTGGGCAGTAATTCTGTTTTGAATAGGCTGTTGATTACAGATGTACGTATGCCTAACATTTTGAAAAGATTGAACGGGGATAATAGCTATCCAGACTAAACATATAAATGAAATATTTGTGGTTTGGAAATCCAGAGACACATTTCTTCAGTAATTTCATCATGCATTCCATCTCTTTAGCGGGATGTCTTTGATCTGTCCTTTAACTGATTTTAATATATAGATCTGCATTACAAGACATCTGAGGATACATAGGGGTGTAAAAAATATGATCAGCCATTTGTTTACTTATTGAATTTTTTATTTTATTTTATTTGTCAATTGCTTACAAAATAATAGGCATAAGTATAAACACAGTTATGAATACATGGATACGTATAAGAAAAATAAAAGAAACAATAGGATAGGGACGGTAGGCACGTTGGTGCGCTTATGCACACCTGCTACAGATCTCTTAGGAAAAGGGTGAGGTCAATAGTGGATAGTCTAAGGTTAAAGTTTTTGGGGTTTGGAGAAGAAACCACAGAGTCAGGTAGAGTATTCCAGACATTGACCACTCTGTTGTTGAAGTCGTATTTCCTGCAATCAAGTTTGGTGCGGTTAACCATGAGTTTGTATCTATTGTGTGCTCTTGTGTTGTTATGGTTGAAGCTGAAGTATTCATTAACAGGTAGGACATTGCAATGTATGATTTTATATACTATACTTAGATCGGACCGAAGGTGGTGTAGTTCTAGGTTTTCTAGGTCTAGAATCTAGAAGTCTCTAGATACATTATTGACTTTAGGCATAGTTTTATTATCTGTCTGTCTGCCTGTCTGCCAAAAAAGTAAATAATTGCCATCATATAAGATATGTAAAGGTTTACTGCCTCAAAGCTATTTCATTGAAATGAGGCTGATCAAAGCATTTACATTATGCTCAATGGTAAAATTTACCAAGGTGATTGAAAAATCTGAACTGCAAGGAGAGCGAATCATGTGATGCTTCTAAATGACCTATAAAGAGAAGAGTAAACAATGGTGGACTCTTAAGAGAAAACTTATTTAATACTGGCCTGTGTACATTTACAGTCTCCTGAATTGTCCATAAACTTCTGGAGGATGTTTAACAAGGTTTGAGTGTTGGAAGGGAAGACACTGATAAGAAAATTCACTTCTGAAGCAGTGGCTCAGACAGCTCTGCTTTGAGCCTTCTTGTTAAAGTGGACATGAGCCACTGTGGAGCAATTGATATAGAAGCCATTAACTAGGTAAACGTAACTAGTGAGGCAGGTCACAGAAAGAGAAAACATCTGTGGATTATGTCATCTAGCTATATGACTAAGAGCAACACAGGAAAATATTACCGCAGGCATTCTGCAGACATGAGCTGCTGATGCTCTGGATGACTGCAAATGGATAACTGTGGATGGCTCATCACAACTTCCAGAAAGAGGTAATGAGGCCAGCAGTATTGATGTTCTACTGGAAATGTGATGAAACCTCCAGGCTCCCAGAAACAGTGTTTTTACTAAAGCTCCCAGATGGAGTGGCAACTAACATAGTTTTGACCAACAAGGGTCAGTTCAGAAATTATTTTTAGTTATTTCTTCCCCTGAGATGGCCCATGAAAAAACCCTGCCATACTTTCCCACCCAGAATTCTATAGAGCATTTTATTATTGTTGTTGTTGGTCACACTTTCAATCAAACATTTTGACTGGATTTGGCATTTTTGTCCATCTGTCAAATCCTTCCCAAAGACTTGGAATAGGCAGATGTTGTTGCTTAATAATAAACAGATTGTTGTGGGATGTAAGCAGTTCCAAGTAAAGCTGCCTTTTGCAATTGACTGGTGATGATTTTGTCAATGCCAATGGGGTTCGAGTGATGCTTGAGATGCTTTAGAATTGCACAATTTTTATTGGTACTATCTTTGCAAATATTTTTGCCACAGCCATTCTTCTTGCAAGTCCTTATATTTTGTGATTTTCTCAGTTCTTTCTCTTCAATTCTGTCTCCAAGGATTACAAACATCCGCTTTCCAGACATTGTCATTTTCTTAACAATAGTTAAGTCTGGGGTGTTGTTTCGCAGGTACTTGTCTGTTTGAATTCTAAAGTCCCAGAGCACTTTAGCGTCTTCATTTTCCTATTACTTTTTTTAATTTTGTGGGCAATAGATCTTATTTGTAAGCAAGCAGTATTTCTTGCATCTATTCCAATATTCCATTGTTGCTACTTTGTCATGTTTTTGTTTGTAGACTGTTTGTGTGATCTTCTTGCAGTAGATAACTGGATGGTGCAATTTCTTCAGCTTCTTTGCAGAGATGGCATTTGCTGACTGTTGCCGATTTCTCTGCTCTGGTTTTATATGCATTTACTCTTAAGGCTTCATTTTTATGGAGTCAGAAGTAGCTCTTTTGGCTTTATGTCTTTCTTACTGACACTGGTTAACTTTGGGATATTACGATTATATATCGAATTAATCCATTTGTTAAAATACTGAAGTTTGCAGGTGACACAACAGTGATTGATCACAACAACGAATCCGCATACAGACAGGAGGTTATACAACTTGCCTCATGGCGTAACCAGAACAATCTGGAACTGAACACACTCAAAATCATAGAAATGGTGGTAGACTTTAGAAGAAACCCTCACATACTACCACCTCTCACAGTACTAGATAACACAGTATCAACAGTAGAGACCTTCAAATTTCTAGGTTCTATTATATCACATGACCTAAAATGGACACCTAACATCAAAAACATCATCAAAAAAGCACAACAAAGAATATTCTTTCTGCGCCAACTCAGAAAGCTCAAACTGCCCAAGGAGCTGATGATACAGTTCCACAGAGGAATTATTGAGTCTATCATCTGCACCTCTATAACTGTCTGGTTTGGTTCTGCAACCCAACAGGACAGACACAGACTTCAGAGGATAATTAGGACTGCAGAAAAAAACAATTACTACCAACCTGCCTTCATTGAGGACCTGTATACTGCACGAGTCAAAAAGAGGGCTGTGAAAATATTTACAGACCCCTCACATCCCGGACATAAACTGTTTCAACTCCTTCCCTCAAAACGATGCTTTAGAGCGCTGCACACCAGAACAACTAGACACAAGGACAGTTTTTTCCCCAAACGCCATCACTCTGCTAAACAAATAATTCCTTCAACACTGTCCAACTATTTACAAAGTCTGCACTACTATTTTCTCATCATTCCTTATCACCCATCCCCTCCCACCTGTGACTATGCGGCTGTAACTTTGCTGCTTGTATCCTTACAATTTATATTGACTGTTTCCTAGTATGATTTAATTGCTTATTGTACCCTATGACTATTATTAAGTGCTGTACCTTATGATTCTTGACTCTTGATAAAGGTATCTTTTCTTTTATGTACACTGAGAGCATTTGCACCAAGACAAATTCCTTGTGTATCCAATCGCACTTGGCCAATAAAGAATTCTAATTCTAATCTAGGTTTCATCAGAGCTAAAACCGATGTCCACTTAAGTTTGTATTAGAGTTAACATTAAATTGACTATTATATTCAAGTTTTAATCTTTATTTCTCTCCAACAGTTTCACTGCCTTAAAGTATCCGTAAAAACCAGTCATGTTAATACTTCATTGAGTGGTAAATGTTTTATGAAATGTTTAAGTTATTAGTCTGTTCTCTAATTTGATTCCTATAGCTCCAGTCTCTGTCTTGCATACTCACTCTCATTCAAGTTTAATGCTATAAAAATACATGGGGAGTAACACACAAAAATTATATTCAAATGAATTCACAAATTATCCCAGCCCAGGGCTTCCTGAAGAAGCCAAGTTTTTAACACTTGCCTGAAAGTCAGGAGGAACGGAGCCAAATAGATTTTAGAAGGGATGGGAGCAGTGCCAGGGTCTAGTCTAGACAGTCCCCAAATCCCCACTGGATGGAAATTGCTCTGAGACCAATTTCTACAAGAAATACATAGACAGAAAAGAAGGGCCTTGTTCAGCAATAAAAACCAAAGAAAGCTTGAATACTAATGTATAGGGTATGTTTTGACCTTCACCTTCAACTCTGCTGAGTGCCAAATGTTGAAGGATACATATGTTCTATTGGCACATTCTTGTACATG